AAAAGTAAAGGATTTATTTCTTTGTTCTAGCTGTTTATATACATGTGTATGCCCATGTCCATGAAGTCCATAATTCTCAGTATGTTGGACCGACATTGTCTAAAGTTTATATAACCGATTTGCATTTGTCAATACAGACAAATATTAAGGTATAGAGCCGACACATTTTTTATCCTCAGTGAGGACTACAATTCTCCTTATAATCATTTGCTTTTATTGTATATCCTTTCACAGTGCCAGACTGAGGGACAAACCTGCAATGTGATGAATGGTAGAACCTGCTGTAATGGCCTGATGTGTGAGTCTGGAATAGGAAACACCCGAATCTGCAGGAGAAACATCGGAGGTGGTGTCGGGGTAAGCGTGCAACCAGAGTACTGTGACAATAAACCATCGGTTGGATCAACAGGTCCTTATTATACCTCGTACGTTTATCATATCTCCTCAGGAGTACTCAAATGGGCAAATGGTTCCTGTATGTTTCATTATTGTTTTTATATAAATTTAAAAGTATGCTTGTATTAAAGGAACTTTATCTTTTACAGTGTCGCCTGAGAAATGAAGAATGCAAAATTAATGGCATCAACGCTATGAAATGCTGTGGCTCACTCCGCTGTATGCCTGGAATAATGAACAAGATGATGTGTCAGTAGATGGCGTTGCGAAGCCCAGTCTTTTCCAACAGCTGTTATTGGAAATAAAATGGCTTTGATTTTATAACCAACGTGTTTTTCAATTTGTTCATTTGTGTTCGTACAAAAAACAAACGGGCTCTCGCGCTCATCATCTTATTGGCTCATTCACCCAATCACCCACTCACTCTCACTGATCCACACTATACTTAGCAACTCCTGAAATAACAATAGGTATTATCTTTTTTGACGTTTTGCAGGTTAACACCACACAAAGCAACATTACGTCCATACCTTATCTAAAGTATAGATATTGTTTGGGGTGGTTACCATGACGTCACAGAAAATGACTCATCAACTCCCTCATTCACTCACTCACTCACTCATTCATCCAATCAAACTCACGCTCACCCACTCACGCTCACCCATCCACAATATACTTAACGACACCTGAAATAACATTTTTATTTTATTTTGTAGGTTAACGTCACACAAAGAAACGTTACAGCCATACCGTATCCAACGTATCGATATTGTTTTTGGAGTTGATGATGGTTATCAACACCTCACACAAAATGACATTTTGCTTCTTTCACGCACCTGTCGGGATGACAGCAAACATAGGTTTTGGAGCCAATTCAAATTACACAAAACACATAAAAGGAATAATTGTAGTTAATGAAATTTAATTTCGGGGTTACATGTTTCCCTTTGGGGTGTTTAGGCGACCTTAAATATGCATATTCTTCACAGGAGACATTTACAGCAGAGTTCAAATGACCTCAAGACAGCCATGCCAGAACACAAAGGTTATTTGTGTACACTTCATTTCATCATCTCCACAATACATACAACCGTAGTCCACCGACTGAGACACATAGTCCATCTGTGTTGACGGTGTTGCATTGACAAAAGGACGTAAAATTGAAAAACATTATCCACAGTCTTTACATATGACATTCACAGCAGAGTTCAAAAGCCCGGAAGACAGCCATTCCAGAACACAAAACGTTATGTTTGTCGGCGAAACGCTTCATCTCAATATCTCCACAATACATGCATGTGTAATGTACCGCGTGAGGTACTGAGTCCATCTTTGTCGACGGTGCCGCTTTGAAACAGGTCCTACACAGCACTGTTTCCACCAGTCGCTGTAGGTTGGGATGAAGAGGCGGAAGATGAGGCTGCTGATCAGCTAATACAGCTGGCTGTTGCGGAGGCTGAGGTGTTGGTTCTGGAGGTTGAAGGGGAATTGTCGTTGTCGGTGTCGGCGTGGAGACTGACAAAGGTTCTATCCCGTGTAGAGCGTCCATCAAGCTCGAGTCCATCAGGGATGAAGGTGAGGTCGAAACGTCCATGAAGTCCATGATTCTCAGTATGTTAGACTGACATCTACTAAAGCTTATATAACCGATATGCATTTCGTTGTTTATGACGCACTCAAGTGCTTTTGAAGTACCTCGGGACTCCGTACGGGCGATGTTCTTTGTAAGGGGGCATAGCACAGTAGGTGTTCTTTGTGTTTAGGATGTATGCATATATCACACGTTTAACAAGGCAATCAGGATACGTCACACATCACATCTACCTGACACGGAGATGAGGAGTTATTAAAATGTGCATTATTTGTGAACTTATTAGCTGTTACCAACTAGATAAAGCTCTCTATTTGATGAGTTCTCTGAACACAACCCACCATTTATGATCCATTATCAACACTAAGAACATATTGAGTATATTTGTAACAAAACATATGACATGCCATATGATATTGATAATAATGATTCGGTTGCTTAATAATACCAAACAAAATATACGGATGATGATTATTTGGGGGAATATCTTACAATTACACAAAATATCCACTAAATCATTCATGATCCCAAACGTTTTTGTTCAATGAATATAGATAATAGATTAATGTAGATACAAATGCCATAATGTTAATAATCCGCACTGTTCAAATCCTTATTTTATCGACCGGATAAATCTTTTCTGGATCTGCATGTTATTCTTCATGCTAATTATGTTGAATAAGTTCAAATGTCACATGGGTGTAATGAGGTCCAGATCTTAATATTGCACGTGTACTCCCAAAATCCACTTTTCGGAGCCAAAATATTCCAACATATAAACTATTTACTGATATTTCGATTACAATTTAAATCACACAAGCGCAATGTATATTTTGACATACTCATCCACTGATTAATAACGGTACGAGACCATCCCATATCGCCAATATAGAGGCACATATTTAGCAAATAGGAAAATGAAGTCAAGCATGGAACTATGATGAACAGCCTATGGTAACTTATCATGGGAATCCGTAACAACGTATTCAATAGGAGTGGTAAGTGTTTATGGATGACCGACGTCTTTATTGTACAATAGCGACGTTTTGGTATAGATACTTATACCGTTTTAAATAGTTCCGTTATTATATAACCCTGATTTCCGGATCTATTAATCATTTCTTTTAGTGACATGTAGAAGTTGATGTGATGAACAACGAAAAGAGTTCTATGGATATGAGACTTCTTTATTATAAATATGGCGACGTTTCGGTGAAGCTTGCTTGATAACGGTGCTAGCAGCCTAACCGAAACGTCGCTCATATTTATAATAAAGAAGTTGTATATCCATAGAACTCTCCCCCTTGTTTATTAATCATCGCTGGGACTAGTGTACTTATGTTGAATACATGATTGCGTTCTTTACAATCGTGCATAACGCACATACAGCTTGTTTTTGTCTTTGATAAATATTTAATGTAACCATGTACATTACGCAGAGGATAACACAAGATTATTTAATTCCCATTGTTTTCTAACACGTAGTTAGTATTTATATAAGTTAGAAGAATGCTAATACATCAGAGTGCATGTACAAGTATTCATCTGCCTCAAGTTTCTCATATCCCACCCTGATGCAATAACGCTTGGAATTAATTAAAGCCTATTCATGTTCCGCAGTGGGGCATGTGTCGAACACTGCTCACAGATTCACAGTTCTGGAGTCAGGTACATGTTTATCTGGGAGTGTCACAAACATGTAACTGTAAGCGGCCTTAGCTAACCTTGGTCGATTATAGCTGTACGTTCATTTGACGGGACAACAATACTTCATTGTGTCATGGATCATGTCGAGGCTAAAATTGACAACTATGTATGCTAAACTGCACCTTCACCTGCACAACGTCCGAATAACAGCAAGATTGTAAGATACTACTACTGTCGATATTGTGCAATTGCTTTACAAACCGATTTAGAGTTCGTCGTTTTAAATCGACCGATCGACCATGTGAATGCAACGAAATGTGCGCAATTTCGCCATCGGTGAAGACAATACGCTTTTTCGCAAGCAACTAGTATCCTCACTTTCGGGAACTGATGTACAGAACCATGCTAATAATAAATAGTTCTTAAAGATATTTCCATTTATTTTTCATATCTATTCTTATTTCTTGATGAATTATTTTGATGCATATTGTTCTCGCAGAGTGGCTAAATATGTACAAGCGGATACGCCTTTATTCAAAGTCTAAAATAAAAGATCAAATAACACAAGAATGTATAATAGAAACTAACAATTATTCAATCAAAACATACGTAAGAGATAAAGTAATATCTTTTAATTTATTAAACGCACTTGGTACAAGTGTGACGTTACTGACACACGAGCTGGTAATACTGGTTGTAGTCACACCTCATGTTGTTACAGCATCTCATCTCCTGGGTTCCAGTCCTCCAGCACTCTTGGCCATATCTTCGACACTGAAATAAACAGGGAAATGTCAAGAGAATACAACTTCTGTTTTCATATGCTGTTACAAACAACACATAGCATCAATATGATGCATCTTTAAAAGAAATAGATTTGTTGAATGATTTGTAAATAGATAATATTTTATGATTGGAAGTTTAAATTAGTAACTCAGATTGTTAGTGGGTGTATACTCAAAGGGGTTAAAGTACTGTAAAATTAGTGTCCTCCTGAGAGGGGTACGTAAGTCCCAAAACCATCGAAGGAAATGTAAACATACCACATATTTTTAAGCGTAGAATATTAGGTATTTTAAATTATGGCTAAATTTTCCTGCAATCGCCAGGAGCTGAAGGGATGGTGTAAATCCAGCTAGGGTCCATGCAGGCAGCAAAGGTACTGTAAGTCCCCATGTCAATAGTTTGGTGATCTACCTTCAGTTGTTGGCGATCTATAGCCTGTTTTTATATTGTCTTGTCATGTATGGTTGCAATGTTTTAACTTTAGTAGTTTTAAAGTTCATATCTGTGATAGTCTAGTTGTTTTACTGTCCATCGTTGACAGGTTTTTATACTTTACCTATAATTATCATTAATATCTAACTTGATATAGTCGCGATATGGCTTAAATACAGCCGATGTGACTTAAGATATTAACTCAACTCAACTCAATCAATATGATGCTAACTGCTAATGCTTCGTCTGAGGAAATAAAACTTTTTTCTTCGTTTTTGGTCTTCTGATTGTGTATCTTTATATTTGCGACCATTATAATGAAATAAATGAAACATTATATATGTATGTGTGTGTCGATGTACGTGTCTACAAGTTATACCATCGAGGGGCTATCAAAAAGTAGCGAGCCTCACCAAGAAAACTATACAAATGCAGCTGTTTTTATGTTATATTTTTCTACAAATTATCTGTCAACCTCAAGCAAATTGGTTTTGCTATGTTCCAGCTTCACAATCCCCATTTTGCTTGACATTTTATTTGGTACCCCCCCAAAAAAAACCAAACAAACAACAACAACAAAACAAACAAACCAAAATCAACAAAACAAACAAAATGAAAAACCGTAAACAAAACAAAACGCAAAATCTACGATATATGCATCACAAACTTCAGGAAACAAAGTATGCAAGAAACATTTTGTGTGTTTAAGACGGGTAGGAGTTTGCTAGAATCAAATTTCGATATTAAAGTGCAAAAAAGCAATTTGAAACTACAATCGCTTGTTAAAGTGACTCCCCCCTTCAGGTTAACTGAAAGAGCTTGTTTTGGAGACACAACCCATCCCCTTTCATATGACGTAATCATAAGGACAAAACTTATTTATTCACTTATTCACACATGATGCCAAGGTTTCAAACTAAATACTGAATGGTCACACAAGTGTAAGCACACAACATATTGGAAACAGTGCTAGCTTGAATATCTGGACACAATGTTTTGATAAAATTAAAACGGGGTGTCCTTAAAAACAGCCCCGTCTAAGTGTAACTCAAGCAATCCAAATCTTTGACTGTTGATTATGACGGAAGTCATCCAATACCATACTGAATATATTTCATATGATATCATCTGAGGGGAATACCATTATAAAAGAGGTACCAAATGACATATCGTTTCCCTTTTCTGCAATTATATGTTATAAATGTTAGACCTCAATGTGTTGTGATGACTAACATCCTGTTAACTCACATGACCCTCATGTGAATTTATGTAAATTCTAGTTTGTTTTCATGTACATCAGAATAATATAAAATTTGGCAGATACGTTTTAAGTAAAGCGTTACACTTTACCACATTTCCTCCATTGATGTTTCGCTGACATCTTCGTGTGTTTCAACAGAACTCTGACAGGAGAGTCCCGCACAACAACTTCTAGTTCCTGCCAAACTGCAAGTCTGCCCTTGATTCAAGCACTGGAAGCACAGGACCGGTGTGACAATACATATAGTTGGTATAGATGCTAAAGTGAAATACCGAGTTATAAATGTATGTATGCGTGTGCATATGTATGTGTGTGAACAGACATATATATTTATCTGAAGAAGTGTAGTATATTTCATTTGAGCATTCAAGTAATTTGATAATGTCTAAACGAATGGACGATTTAAAATACACACCTAGACACACACACACACACACATATGTATACATATATATAGAGTCAGATATTTCTTCTTGTCCAAATCTCATTTATATCTGCACAAATCTTTCGCCGTTCAACGGCTCTTCAAGGTGTACAGTGACTCAGCTTTCATTGTACATAGAAGAGCCGTTGAACGGCTCTTATATCTTGTAGGTATAAAGATTTGACAAGAAGAAATATCTGGACTCATATTATATATATTTATTGCTTATACACCTGCAGAAATCACTTGTTTATATATATATTATATTCTTTATGAGAAATGGTGACACCATACGAACGTATACATTATAATACAAACCAATACATCATCATGTAAACCAATACATCATCATGCAAACCAATACATCATCATGGAATCCAATACATCATCATGCAAACCAATACATCATCATGTAAACCAATACATCATCATGCAAACCAATACATCATCATGCAAACCAATACATCATCATGCAAACCAATACATCATCATGCAAACCAATACATCATCATGTAAACCAATACATCATCATGCAAACCAATACATCATCATGTAAACCAATACATCATCATGTAAACCAATACATTATAATACAACCAATACATCATCATGCAAACCAATACATCATCATGCAAACCAATACATCATCATGTAAACCAATACATCATCATGCAAACCAATCCTCCCGCGGCTTACTAGCTGTGTTGCACGTGTGAAAATCGCTCAATGACACTAATTACGGTATACAATGGCTATTCAGTATGTCACAAGGTGTTGAACTGGATCAATCAAACAACTGATCACACAGGATGCATGCAGTTACAAACTAGTATTTGTGTGAATTGAGTACTATATGTGCAAAAAAGATTTTCGCTTCGTACTCATATTGCAGCAATGTATAAATTTTACTTCACGTCACCCAAACTTACGTCATCTTAGGAACTGCGAAAAAAACTATACTCTTAATCCTTCATTTAATTACTTACGAATCCATTTTGAGCACAGGTTGATCCCACCAGGGCTACAAGAGCGATACAGATTGTGACATACATCGCTGTAGAATGTAGCTGAAATGCAAGTTAAGCGTGTTAGAAAAACATGTTTAGCATAAGAGACAATCGATCTCTTCCTGTATTGTAGCAACGTAAGTAAAACAATGAACCATAGAATTTGACGAGATTGTTTTAAAGGCAGGCTCATTTGTACGATTCCAGCTAATTTAGTATATATCTCAATGATCGTATTTGTGGTTATTGCAATGATGCTTTGATTATATGTATTGCGATGATGAGTGAGTGAGTGATTTACTTTTATCGTAGCTTCAATAGGTATTCCAGTTATAACACCGGGTGTCACCTTTATGTGGAGCGAAGCCCAACAATGAAGGTTTTGTTTTAAACGTTGAGACGTTTACCACTTTCGTGAAACCTACGAACACGAATATGAGGCTGACAAACCAAGAAACGTACTCGGGTCGAACAGGGATTCGACCGCACGATCGCAGGTTTCTGTAGTCCCAAGGGGAGCAACTCATCACGCCTGAGACGACTTGGCCATCCGTTTAGCCAAAATAACGATGTTTAATATCGTAATCGCGATGTTTATCCTAAACAAAATGGATCTTTCGCGACACAGTTTGTATATTGAGTCAATACTGTAGGTGATATTCCTTTTCCCTGCAATGGCCTGTTTTCACTTCATGTTGGACACATGCAGGTATATCGTTAATTAATAATTCGTACGGGGCGTAGCAGTCAGCAACAGCATAGACATGCATGAATCCAGAGTGAATCCAGAGTACTTGGTATATTACGCGGAAACTCACAACAGCCGATCATTATTTTTGCGATATATTTTCAACGAAATTAAGACGACTATTTGCATATATTTAGCACATTGTAAATCAAATGAACACTTCATTGTCTGAGCGCGCTCGCAATGATACTCGAATTTCTGTCAAACCAAGGATATGAAACCCATTACCAACTGACGCGGATTCAAATAAATATTATACTTACTGGCTGTTATACCGTGCACTTGAATAGTTGCCTGATGGTAAAGCTTTATTTTATACTGCAACAGTTTGTGCTGATGGACCTCAGAGCGCTTATCTGTTACACGCTGACTTTCCAACTGAGGTTATCTTCATTTGTCATCCCTCAGACGCAATTATGTTGTCACAGTTATCAATCAGTGAATTGTACCGTTACATAAAGGATTGTCCTTTAAAATATCTGTGCAGTTGATCCGAGTCGTTATTAAAAGATTCAATTTGAGATCAGATGGATATTGACAACATGTCATTGTTTCCGTTACGTTGTGAACTCCCAGGTAAATTGTTTGAAATGAAAGTTAATGATGAATATTACAAAACATGTTTACTTGTCATTCTGCAGATCTTTATGGTACGGACTGAGTGAGTAAATTCTTTTTACCGTCGGTTTGGACAGTATTTCGTTATTCAACAGATTCAATTTGAGATCAGATGCATAGTTACCGATATCATGACAATATACGGGTCAGTGTTTTCGTAACTTTATGAAATACCAGGTAACCTGTTTGGAATAAAAGGTAATGATGAATATTACAAAATATGTTTACTTACCTCTGTCTGCAGATGTTTATGGTACAGACTGGTGAGTGAATTTTTTACCGTAGCATTGAACAGTATCATAGTTGGATATAGTTTATAATAGAATGACGGTACTTCTCTGTACCCGGTTTTTATGTTGGATATAGTTTATGACACTTATATTACAGCGTGTCAGCCACCTGGAGAAGGAAAACATGAAGTGATGCATATCGCTTTGATACCAACTTCTTGGTGTCCAAGAAGTTGGTAGTGTAAATGATTTTGTATTTACGTTTAAACAAAGACTTGTAGATTCTGCAAAGCAAAATATGTTTAGCAAAATAAATGAATCAGCACATTTATCTTATTACAAATCATTAAAGTCATTACTGGATGTTGAATACTATACTTCTAATGTACATCTAAAGGAATATCGCCGTTATTTATGCTTATTACGTATTCAACAATTGGCTCTCCTGTGTAACGTAAGATGTCAAGATGATAGTGGGTTAAGCAAAATATGTAAAATGTGTAACCGCTATAATTTTGAAGATGAATTACATTTTGTACTTGTCTGTGATGCATATGCAAATTTAAGAAGCAAATACCTACCATAATTTAATTGTCCATCTGTTTTAAGCAAATATCATAAGTTGTTAACATGCAAAGATAAGAATTTACTTATAAAAATTTCATTATTTATTAAACATGCACTATCTTAAAGGAATTCTATCCAATGTTAGAGGAGACATGTATATATATACCTATGTATATGTTTAAACCATATTGTCTATATATCATATACCACTTTGCATTTATTGTACACGGGCCAATGGCTTATATACCGAAATAAATTCTTCTTCTTCTTCATATCGGTTTGATACATCCCAAGTGTACAGATAGGTTCAAACCCGTAATAATAATGTACATATTATTTTCTAACGGTATTATCAAATGCAGG